CTAAACCACACATAGACATGTGTTTGTGACAGAGAAAATTATCGGAAGTTCTTAAGATAACCATGGCAAATATCTCCGGACTAAGAAAATTTGCTTTCATAAAACTGAGAACTAGGATTTCTACATTTGGGGTTAGTGGTGAGGGGTGGCAAGAACTGAGGGAGGTAGGTAGAGATAATATTAGATAGATGCCTATGTTTTTCAAATCATAGTAAGATTTTCAGGTAATAATTCTTTATATTTCTCAAGGATGCCTTTTTCATATAAAATTCCTATCTTATAATACAAACGCTGTGCTAACGCCATTCTCTTGCCATCCCTTTTATTTTGTCATTTATCCTCCTTGCCCCAACCTACCACCTCAGTCCTTTCCTCCCCTTCCTTCTGCCTAAAGGTGGCCTCATTGTTATTCTTTGGCCGGTACCTTTATGGCACATCCCTCTAAAGCAAGAAATGTAAGGCTGTGGCCTGTGGTTCTATGCACAGCCGTGCTCAGCAGCACCAAGCACCGTTATAGCCAAAACAAAACAGAAAGTCCATGGGAACACCGATCTAAACAGCAGTGGTGAGTCCACTCTCCAAGTCACCCAAGGATGGTGCCACTCTCATTATATGGAACTCCTGCTTTTTGCCAATAGTCAGAAAAAGGAAACTGCACACAGTATGCACAATGACCTAACTGCTCATATGGAATTCAACAGCAGTCACACTGTCACCACTGTAAAAAATCTAGTTCTCCAACTAATCACAATCTGTTACAGTGAGTGAGGAGGTTTGAGGTACCAAGCATGGTGCCACTCTCATTATATGGAACTCTCGCTTTTCGCCAATAATCAGAAAAAGGAAAGTGCGCAAAGTATGCACAATGACCTAATTGCTCATATGGAACTCAACAGCAGTAATGCTGTCGCCACTGTGAAAGATCTAGTTCTCCAAATAATCACAATCTGTTACGATGAGCGAGGAGGTTTGAGGTGGTGGTTCTCAAACTTTCATCTACAAAACGACGTGAGTGAGCTGGCAAAAACCCACCCCTGGATACCACAATCAATTAAAAAAGCCCACCCCCAGAGCATCTGATTCTGAAAGTCTGGGGTAAAACCTAGGCATCTATAGCTTTAGCAAGCCTTCCGCACGTGTTTTTAATGAAGGACATCCAAGGCCCACGCTTTCAAAAACAGTGCTCTGAGGCTTTGCGAGAAAGTGACCACTATTATACAGGACCTGGAAGATGCTTTAAAAAGTCATGGTCCCAAGAGTGACTTGTCACTTTGGCTCCAGGCCTGGTGCTGGCTCCCTTACTGTCCTTAGCCTCAGTCTTGTCCGTTCCTCTTCCCACCACCCATGCTCCATTGCTGGTGAGGGGTAGATGGCAACGGGGCTCCCCAGATGACACCCAAGACTATGGTCTATGTTGGGGAAGAGCAAGGGAAATATAGGTCTCTTTCAGAGTTATGAAACTCCTCAAGAGTCTTGCAAATGCCCTTTGCACATGAAAGTAGAGAGGCATACCCCTCCCTAACCCCGAGGAGGTAAGTATTCTCTGATTCCTAGAATCCTCCAGGAGCTAGAACAGTTGTGACAGCTATCTCCAGGACAGACAAGTCCCTCCTGACTGTATGTCTTAAAACATAATTTCCCATAAAAACAATGATAAAAGAAGAATTAGAGCCTCGGACAATTAGGGGTGCCATTTCCTGGAAGTATTTCAGCTGCATTGCCACAGCCCCAGTCTGAGTTCTGCTCACCTTCTGTCTGGACAACTGCAGCAACTTCCAAGGGGTTCTTTCCGACCACTCATCCTTTCTCTAGCCTGCTATTAAATTATTTTCCTCACATTTAAATTATTTTCATTAATATCCTTGTTTCTGTCTACTAGGTCCCATGCTATTCCTTAGCATATTATTTTTAAAATCTTTTAAAAATTAGAATATTTGAGGTTTACAACATGATGTTATGGGACACATACTAATGGTGGTGAAATAGTTACTACAGTGAAGCAGATTAACATATCTATCATCACACAGTTGCCTTTTGTGTGTGACAAGAGCAGCTACTTCTTTAACAAAAACCTCTGACGCAATATAATTTTATGAACTTTATTCCTCATGCTGTACATTTGATCTCTAGATTTGTTCATCTTACATATCTGCTGTTTTATATACTTTGACCTGCATCTCCCCAGTCTCCTCATTTCCTCTCCCTGCCACCACGTAGCCCCACCCCGGTAGCCACTGTTCCATTCTCTATCTCTCTTTTTTATTTTTCCAATATTCCACTTATGCAATACTCTTCTTTCTGTGTCTGGCTTAGTTTGCTTAGCATAATGTCCTATAGATTCATCCATAAAAATTGTTTTTAAAAACACAATCAAACAGCATCAAATTTAAACATGTTTCTAGAGTATCTGGAAAAATAGCCAGAAAGGATAATAGTTTATGTTTTATTCAGAAAGTAATCTAGAAATTATTCCCCAGTTTGATTCAAGATAATAAAATACCAGGTAACCAGTCATTTTTTCTTGCCTTTAAGGATAACAGTCTCTTTTAGGGGTTAGACATACTGAACACAATGAAATTCACTTTTAATAATTTATAATTTTACTTCTTTCCTTGACTCTAGAATTTGAGGTAGAGATACTAGGTATGTTGTTTTGACTAAGCCAGAAATTTTCTTTTTGGTAGTGGGGTAGAACTCTTTGTATGACGAGCAGTAATTTTAGTTTTTGGCAGAAAAGTTATTGTGAGACCTAAGTTGGCAGCCTTTGAGTTTTTATTTTACTATTCTACATCTTTTTGAGTCATTAAAGAGGTTGAAAGAAAGTCAAAATGTTCCAGAAATATTTTCCACTTTCCTTTGGTTACAAAATAGGATGCCCTTTCCACAAAAGCTTAGTACATATCCCCCCATAGTATATTAAAGAGGTTAAAGAAACGATAAGTGAAAAAGCCATTAAGCTTTTTCTATTTTTAAAATTTCCCCCCTTTTCCTGCTTTATTCCCCAAAGTCATGCAAAAATGCTGCTTAGATCATGTGAACAGAGAATATAAAATGGCCCTCCCCAGATTATGGTGATTCTGAACAGCATGTTAGCAAAGAAGGTATTTATGGCTGACAGAGTAATGGGAACATTTATATTTTAAAATAATAGATTGTTCATGTAAGGACCATAATAGTGCTATCTGCCATTAGCACAAAGAGAAGCAAGACCACGCATGGGTTTTTGATCAAAACAGACAGTTCAACCAACCTACATGGCCACAGAGGTTATTCCACCTGGTATTCTGAACCCTCTTGGTAGAAGGCATGTTTTGATGCTTTGCTAGTGGAATATGGGGCCGCTACAACCTTTAACCCTATCTGCAACATGAGCTGCCAAAGATTCATACAGAGAAGTGCATCTATCCTTACTTAGAGCCAGGCCAGGCTTGCTCCGACTTCGCAAGCCCGCTCAAGGAGTGGCGGGAGCACCCAGTGACCCCTTGTTATCCTACACAACCCAGAGGGATCATGGCTAGAACATCATTGTTTTTGTTTGTGAAGAAAGTTGCTAACTGAAGTGGAAGGATGCTCAAAGTGCTCGGTAAAGAATGGTTCTTCCTGTCTACTAAAATTGTTGCTTTCACAGTTCCACAATATTCTTCTCCATCTCTCCCTTGAAACCTTTTTTTTTTGAAATTGTATGTTTGCTATATTTGCAAAGGCTATCTAGTGCCTTCATTTTCCAAGATTTCTTATGCACATATATAATTTCCTAGTCTGAATCCATGAAAAATCAAAATGGGTAAATATATTTTTAAATGAATATAGTTTTATTACTTTCTCATAAATACTAATTATCATGGATTCAAACCAAATACTAATAAAATGTTTCTAAGTATATACATCCTGATTTATGAATCAATAGCATATTTGTAACTGGCACACTGATTGTAAGCCAACACAGATGAAAAGTTTGGCAAACTTTCTACCCAGAGAGTTAATAATTTTTCTCTATATTTGTGTTATTTCATTTGTTCAGCAAACCCTTTCTGTACAGACTCAACAAACTGGATCCCTCACATATGCTAACAAATTCTTAATTTAATATGGGTCTACATGACCATTCTCTGGGCCACAGCCATTGCAGAATGCCTACTTCAAGTGTTAATCTCCAGGGTGGAACAGTCAAGCTATGGAATAAGGAGAGGCTTTGTAGCAACATTAGAAACTTGGTTTGCAGCCTTTTGAACAAGTTACTTATATCCATGAGAAACAGTTTCCTCGGTTATAAAATAGGAAGAATAATCCTGGGAATAACACACTAATGTGAGTAAAGCTCTTAAAGATCCTCTTGTGAGAGTGCAGTAAAAGGACAAAGTAATGTTACTGGTACCTTGTCAACACTCAAACAATACGTTTAGGTATTAAGCAGTGACTATAAATATAAGTAGAATCAGGGCCTGCAGTATAATCACATAATCCCAGTCCGTGTACTCACCCAGAAATATAATTTAGTTACTCATTCCAAGAAGACAAATGATTCAACATGAACGCATATATTCAACTTTATTATATCAGAATTACAAACTCGCTTGTGATGGGGAGGGTAGCAATCTTCCTATATCTGTCTCACCAATTCAGACCTGACTTGTTTTATTAATTTAGTTTTTTCCCTCTATGTGGATTTTTATATAAATAGATAATAGACTTTTCTAAGTTAACTGAAGGAATGGTTCTGGTTGGACTCTGACTTTGTCTTTAAATTTTCTACTCCATGTTCAATTTTATTTCTTATTTTTTATTTTTTTTAGGAATTTCGAAGAACATTTATTTCACCATTCTTTAGGTGGTACAAGTGCAACGGAGAGGACAACCCGGGCCCTCCTGGCCCTCGACTATAAAGCTCCGATGGTCAAGACAGGTCCCGCCCATCAATCCAGTTACACACACCCTGCCGCTCCACCTTCTGCCCGGAAGCCCCGATTAAAATGTTTTAAATAATGAACGGCCTGGTTGGCTTGCAGTTTGAATCCTGGTTTATTTAAGTAGCATTCAGGAGTTATACTGTAAATAAACATCATTATGGCTAATGACTAATTAAAATCACCATTCATTACAAATACCAACCAGGTTAGATAATACTATTTTAACTATCTTTTCCCCTTCGGTCTGGAATTCATATTCTTCCTTTTCTGGAAGTCATTTTCATGGATAAAATATTTAGCATTTTTTGTTACCTCTTCCTTCACCAACTGTACTCAACTCCCTTCTGTAAACAGAGTGAGAACCTGGGTCCATGGACAAGCTCCTTCCCACTTATCTTGGGGTTAAACCAAAACTTTTTCAGCAACTTTGCCCCCATCCAAGTTTTGCACAATACCAGCTGCCTCTTCCTGTTCTAGGCTTTCTAGGGCTGGATACCTCTGAACGGACTTCAAGCATTAAAGAAGTCATCAGCATTTCCTATACCTCACACACACTCATTTGCCCACCCTGAACTTTACTGACATTAATTTAGGAGCCTGCCTTTTGCCTTTCACATGTTTCTATTTCCCCCACTGTACTGTAAAATAAGATCTGCCCTGACATTAAGAAAAAAGGTAACTGTTAAATTTACTTTTCCCTTTAAATAACAGAAGGATTTTTTCCTTTTCTACGAGATTAGCAAAATATTTCACACTACCTAAATTTTTTCCCTTAAATAAAAATGTATGCAAAATTACTATAATAGACATTGCTCAATAGGTGCTGGTAGGTTTATCAGCACACTCTTCCTCCTTTCATTGAAATGCAGAGATTCCCTTGAAGTTGGGTACTCCTGAATGCACCACGGAGTCTTTAGAAAGCAACGGTGCCAACTATTAAGTCTTGCAGGAAAATTACTTTCTCCTTGAGAGAGGAAGAGTAACAACATTTCTATCATGCTCTGGGTGTTATTTTAATGCCAAATAGCTATGAAGCTTGAGCTGGGTTACAGAAATTATGAGAATAATTCTTAAAAACAACTTACGAGGTTAATGTCTTTCAAAACCTGAAAATTAACAGATATCCCCATAAAAAATCCACATTAATCAAAGAAAAACACTCAACTTCAATAAAAGCAGAAATAAAAATGGTTCTATATGAAGTTGAAGTTATACTTGTCAATGCACTAAAATAGTTTTATCCAAATCAACTGAAAAACTGTCTTCATACTATTCATCCAATGTCTAAAGTGAAAATTTAAGTTCTGGTCTTTAACTTGCTTCCCAAAATACTATAACAGGTATTGTCTTGGTAACTCAACGATGGGCTTACACAGATTCATCAGATTAAAAATAAGCAAGGGCTTCTACCCCATACCCCAATGACAGAATAAAGATCATCTCTGAGCAGCAGGCAGTTATTTAATACAAGGTCACTCCTCAATAGCGTTCGCTGTACCAGTCATTGTTGTTTATCTGAAGAAGTTCCGTTACAACCTGCAGGATATTGTAATTGTGTTTCTTCAGCAGCCGTAGGTTCAGCTGCCTGTCACAGAATCCCATTTCAAAGAGATGGGCCATCAGGGCTGCTGTCTGATCTTCAGAAACTATTGGCTGTGCAGTGACGGGTGGCCCAGCAAACAGGGCCTTGTATGCAGAGGCAGCAACAGACAAAGCCCCCTTCACCAGTCCTCCAGCAATGCTACTCCCATGATGGTGCCTTGAGTGGTCATAGCTCTTCTGTCTGCTGTTTACAAGTCCTGATGAGCCTCTGGGCTCTCCTCTGATCTGATCAGGGACTGAAGAAACTTCTGATACGGTAACTGGTAAATCCACTCCTGGGGAACCATGATGATGTACACAAGGAGGGCTCCTGGGCAGTGGCGGTGGAAGCTCCACTACCTCTGGGATTAGGGGCACTGTTTCCAGAGTCTGTGAGGTCATGAGGATGTCACTTATGCTGTGCTCCTGTGGCTGGTTCTCCCCTCCAGGAAGTCTCTCCCCAGCCTCAGCTGGTTCCTGCCCAGCCTCAACCCCAGGCTCGCCTTCAGCACCTCGCTCCAGGCCTGGCTGTGAGAGTGCAGAGCTGTACATGGAATCCCCCAGGGGGCGGCTGGTATCAAAGCACTCAGGCAGGATGATGATGTAATCCTCTGAGGAAGCAGAGGACTGACTCTGAACTTCATCTTTGAGCTCCTCCTCCTCCTCTTCCTCCTCCTCCTCCATGACAGCTTCTTCCTCAGTGATATGGACAATCTCCTCCCTCTCATCTCCAAGTGGTCCTTCTTCAGGCAAGGCAAATTTCATCTGCAAGGATTTCTGTCTGCAAGGAGGGTTGTGGTCTGGGGCAGCATCCAAGGTAAGGGATCGGATTACTGTCTCACACACAAACTGGGTCCCACTCAGGTCTTCTTCTGCTTCCTCCACAGAAGCAATGTTCTGAGTCTTTCTCTTTACTGACACTGTAGAATCAGGAAGTGCTTTAAATCCTGTCCCTTCACTCTCTTCCTCTATCTGCCCCAAGTCTGGCTTCTCTATTAAAGGACTGTCATGTGGCAGAGGAGACATGCAGGGAGTCATATCCACAGGGGTGTTATGGGGCACTCTCTCCAACTCTTGAACAATGTTTATATCCAACAGCTCAAACGACAGCAGGTCCTGGGCAGTCAGAAGATCCACAGATGGGATGTAGAGCTCCCTCTCACTGGCAACATTTTTTGCCTTCTGTGGGATGCAGGCTGCTGTCCCTTCTGTCTGCTCAGTCACTTCACCAAGTTGTCTTTCTTCTTTAGCCAGAAGAAAAGCTTCCTCTTGCTGGCAGGTGAGATCATCAGTTTTGCTTGAGCTGATCATGCCCTTTTCAATGTTATCAGGGCTCTCTTCAGAGGGGAAAGGATCCACTATGATACTGCACCAGACTCGAGGCCCAAATTGCTGGCCTTTGTGAGAAAGACGCCAATGGGAAGTATACGTTCCCTCCAAGGCTGGGGCAATGAACTCCACAGATACAACTCCCACATGGCCGGCCTTGAGGCAAGGAACCAAAACATCCTTCTTTTCTGTGGAAGCCAAAGTCAGGTTTCCCCACATGAACTTGAGCTTTGTGTCTGCACTCCACTTCACATTTCCTGTATTCTTCATCCTCCAGTGTTTGATAAACTTGGTTCCTGGCTGAAGGTGAGTCCCATCAGGCAAATTCTCATCCACAAATGCTGCACTGAGCATTGGCATAACGGGGGTATAGGGTTGCAAAGGGAGCATCAGGGTATTAGACTGGAGCAAGCTCTCAGGTCGGCCTAAAGGAGACTTGGAGCTCTGCAGTCCATGGATTGAATTCCACAGGTGAATTTTCCTATGGAGTTTAAGTTGCTTTTTAAGTTCCTTGACCTCTGCTTTACGTTGTTTCTTCTCAGCTCGCAATCTTTGCTTTTCTGCTTTAAGAAAGTTCTTATCAACCTGTTTCTGGAGCCTGACTTGTTCCAGAGCAGCAGGAAGACGAGGAGTAGAGTATTTTGAGTGAGAGAATGGTTCAGAGGAGCCCACAACAGGTTTCCGCAACTTCAGCAGGACATGGTTAGTGTCGTGGCTATATGGCCCTGCTTCACAATCTTCACAGATATTGTAGGATGGGCATAGGCTACACTGGTAGCGGACACCAACAATCCTTCTTTGGCAGTTGTTGCAAGCAATATGCCAGCTGAACTGATTTTCTGGCAAAAACAATGTTTCCTCTGAAGTAGGCATTGAGACTTCTGAGGGACAAGAACCCAAAGATGGGTTCTGGAGGACAAGCTTTTCATGTAATTTCTGTTCAAGCTTCTCAACCATTTCTTTAACCACTTGTTCTCTGAATGTCTCCAGGTAGCTTGTGAACCAGTCTGGGGGCTTGTCTTGAGGCTGGTCTGTGTCACATGGAGCAAGTGGCAACGACTTAAGCGCTTCTTCATATTCTCCTTGACTGTTGATGGATACCTCTTCATTTTCCTCATCCAGGTATTTTATTTGAATAGTATTCAGATCAAATGAAACTTTTACCATAGCCTCAATATCAGCCCAAGTTGTATTTTCTGGATCAGAAACCAGAAAGCTTTGAATTTCATTTTCAAAAGTCACATTTAGAGTAACCTGTGGTTCCATGCTGTGGGGCAGCTTCCCGCCCCCGGGGGGCGCCTGCTGTAGGCCAACGCAAGGACCGTCCGCTGCCAGCTCTGCCGCTATCCCTGTGGCCTCCATGTTCAATTTTAAAGGTTTGTGGTTACTTTTAAAGAATCTGGACCCATTGTCTAACTGACATGTTAATTTCATTCTTTTTGTAAATATCTGTTAACTTACCTTCCCTTTTAGAATCCCCAGAATTGATCAAATTGAAGGCAAACTAAAAATGCTCCCTTTTGATCCTAACCTACAGAGTAGACTTATGCTTTAATCAAACAGCATCATATTTCATATCATAATCACCATGACTTTCATAAACATAATAAATATGCAATTCCACAAGTATGTCAATCTTTCACACTCCACTAAATTTAAAGTCTTGGTTTGTGTTTTTTAATAAATCTATCAATCATATCAGTGAATCTTGGTTATACTTTTTTATAAAATTAAGATTCAGATTTTTATTACTTTAAAGAATTGTCAAAAGAAACTTAAATTTCTTCATGTTTAACAAAATAGATCTCATGAGATTGTGATATTTCCAGACAATGTTATAGTTTCTAACATTCCAGTGCTTGAACAGTCTCATTTTGTTTTTGGCATATAAATACACACAAACCATATAGACATACCTTCCAAATAAGAACTATAGCATTCTTATTAATTCCTATTAGAAATAAAAGTAGAATATTCCAGAGTGAGTTCAATATTTCTTGGAGAATACTAGGCCAGAAATATTTTCTTTCCAGACTTATTCTCTACTCTCTTATCCTAATAGATTCTCATTAAGTTATGACAAAGAGATTACAAAATAAATCACAGTCCATAAGAGAGCCTTAATCATCTGAGAACAGTTTGTGAATATACTTTGGTTCGAGATAAGAGTTTCATGGTTAATTTTACATTTTAAAATAACTAAGAGAGTATAATTTGATTGCTTGCAACACAAAGAATAAATGCTTGAGGGGATGACTACCCAATTCTCCATGATGTGATTATTGCATATTACATGCATGTACCAAAATATCTCATGTACCCCATACATTTATACAACTACTATGTACCTACAAAATTAAAAGTTTTTAAAAATTAAGGAATTAAACTCTTAAACAAAAAAAGCTACATGGAACATAAGAAACACACAGTGGAAATTCACTAGCACTGTCCACCTGAGGTATCCCAGTCACAGCCATGACCAATAGCAAAATTTCCATTTCCAAGGTAGCCTCTCTCTTCCCTCTGCTCTTCTGATACATGTGCTATCCACAAAGAAGTAGTTCAAGAAAGTGTCCCCTAAAAAGGTGTGTTGTGGGGAGTTGCCACCAACACAGTGGTCTGTTACTCCATAGCCATCCCACTAGATGGTCCCCACTAGATGATCCACAGAGAAAGGACCTCCATGCAATGTGAAGGCAAATTAGAGGAAATTATTGAGGTGATCAATGGAATTGTTTAGAGTCTTTTTTATCTACTCAACTCAGACACTTCCGAGAAGAGCCCTTGTGTGTCCTGCAGTGGACTCAGCACATCCTGATCTAAAGTCCCATTTGATCAGGAAATCAGCCTCATGATCTTATCATTTCCCAAAGACCATCCTTGATTTTCTAATAGGAAATGTCACTGCTTCTTTCCCTATCTGCACACTGTACCCACACTTCCCAGGTCACTAAGTCTGCTCCTTTGTGACATTCCTATCAAATAACAACTGTTACCTGCCCTGTGCAAGAGTTTCTTGAACTCCACAGTTTAGAGAAAAGTTAGCAAATTGTGGCAGTAGAATTCTTTCTTTTATTGAAATTAAAGCATTCTAAAACAAATGTTTCTACATGGAGCCCTTCTGGCTGGGGAACTTGGGGAACCAGAGCTTTATCCCTTGAGTTCCTTCTTTCTTGACACCTCATTTAGAAGCCCCTGAAGGGATTTTACAGGGAATGAAAAACCTCTGAATTAGGCAGCAAAAGGAAACCCCCATGTGAACTTTTATTTCTCTATATAGAAATATAGGTATATTTTATTTCTCTATAAAGAAATATGTGTGTGTGTGTGTGTGTGTATATATATATATATCCCCTTAGCTCCATTTGAATATGACAGTCAACAAAATGTACCTTCCACCACCACCAAATCTTGTATGAGAACTTGATTTTTCCTCCATTTGAATAGTGAATTAATTTTACAACGAAATCACAAGATTTATGGGTAGTAGGTCTACATACATCACTACTAAACTGAAAATCAACAGTATTTCTGTCTTTCATGATGCCACAGACCTGATCCTTTAGAAGTGGGGAGAAACAGAATTTCCTCTCCTTCATATCTGTGGTTCTCCCACATTCCCACAAGTGAGTACTTTCTTCTCTGGTCTTTACCTGATATCCCCTACTTATATGATAAGCCTCAGGAGGCCAGGGATCTTGCCTGTGTTAGTCATCTCTACCAAACACCAACAGACTCTACTAACCATACATGAGCACTTAGTAACCAGTGCTTTGTGGGGTCAATAAAGAAGAACTTTATTAGAAGTATGTATAGTCATTTGATCTGAAAATGCTGAGCTTTTGTGCACCTGTTAATTATGAACAACTTTTCCCCACACACAAATTAAGGGCTTGCTAAGCAGATGATGCTTGGTACTAAGCAAGCAACTCAGCCTTGCTCCTTAAAGGTGCCTCATACTATAAGCCTTGTATCTCTATGCCTGTGAAAAGCATATAGTAACAAGCTTCTACTTTCCTAAGGATATACAAATCAAATGTCAACTGAATCCAACAGTAACAAATGTGCACTGGGTAGTGGGTACAGGAGGTACAATGATGAAGATTGACAGCCACTATCCCTGCCTGTGTGGAGACTGCAGCTGAGGCAGGGAGGATGGACATTGCACATGGTGCCACATGCACGTGTGTGTGCGTGTGTGTGTGTCTGTGTGCATGCGTGCGGGTGCAATACAATCCTCAATAATGCAGAATGTGAAAAAGATATCCATCAAATGGTCACCCAAACGAGTGCCACAAAGGAAGGACACTGTCCTATAAGCACCTCAACTTAAGAGCTCTAACCTAAGCAAGAAGGTTGGGTTACAGGCTGAGACTAGAAAGAGAGCGGCAGTTAAGAAGGCAAAGCAAGCAGGGAAGAGCACGCTTAGTGGAGGGAAAAACATGTACAAAAGTGCTAGTAGAAGAGAGCTTGGCATATACCAGGAGCTGAGAGAGGGCCAGCGAGGAATAGTTTCTTAACATGAGGTAAAGTGAAAACGTTTCTGAAGGCAAAAAAGATCAAGCAAACTCTAAAGCCACTCCTGTTACTGGTCCACATGCAACCTGATTCTTTTCCCTCACAGCTTCTTCCCCTGGAACGACAGCATAGCTAAGCCCCTCTTCTGAGAGTGGGAGGTCCTGCTGATTGACAAGCAGTCACTAGTGAGTCACAGTCAGTCATTCCTGACAAGCCCGGCTTATTATTAAATGTAGTGGAGCAGTGAATTCAATGGTTAGAAACGGAATGGAGAGAGCCTGAGAAAGGCAGTGGGGCAGCCTAGAGGAAAGCCACCTCCATGGAACAGGAAGTCTTTTCTCTTTTCAGAGCATCATCCATCATGCTGGGGAAACGGCAGGAACGTAACCTACTACTTCTTAATAGGCTTCTGCACAGAGAGTGGCTTTGAAGCAGCAGCTGCCCACAGTAAATTTCACTGACCCTTAGAGCCTTTCTCCACGTTTTCCAACTGTTTTGTCTCCTGAGCTGCAGCTCAGCGTTGGGTCCAAGTTACAGCACCTGACTAAACTAAGGAGCCTCCCCGGTATGAGAATAGAAAGCGTTCAGCGATGTTGTCTTTTCTGTGCTACCCCAACAGTGAGACATGATGCCATTCCATCTGGCCATAAAGTGTATTCTTTCCCAGGGAGAAGAGGCTCAGCAAGGGACTTTTATTTTAAGGTCTGGTATTTTACTGTACACATATCAAAGAAAATACTGTGAAATACAGTACAATCCCAAGATAATGCAGCCAAGGGGTGAACTCTTCTCAATAAAGCAGATTTAATAAGTCTAATAAGATCAAAGGCCTTTTGAGTTCATTCAGGCTTTAATTTTTTTAATTATGAAGTTGCACAGATACAAAAATCCAAGGATGATGTCAGAAATAAGCACTTTGGAAATTAAGAAAATATATCTGAAAATTCAGCTTTTTCCTCTTCTGAATAATTTTCATAACAATCTCAATTTGAGGAAATATAATTCTTATGTATAAAACAGACACAAATTAATGAAATAAATAAATATGTCGTCTTTGATGCCCACCAAAGTTGATGTTCCAGACCCCCTATTAATAGAGCTTGTGTGCTGAGCTGCTTTTCCAAGAGCGGGAACAGATGTGCTTAGCTCTTAGATCCTGTCTCTTCGAGCCTGGTCCTCCCATGGACTGTGGAAGACCTTCATGAAATGAGGGGCTGTGATTACAGGCCACAGTAAATCTACCTGACACATGAAGGCCTGAAATCACCCTCTGACTCGCTGTCAACTCAGCTGAGTATTAGGGCCCAAGGAACTCCTAGAAACTTGCTTTTCAAAAAACAATTTTTTTTTTTTTAGAGACAGGGTCTTACCCTGTGGCCCAGGCTGGAGTGCAATGGCACAATCATAGAGCGCTATAACTTCCAACTTCTAGGCTTAAATGATCCTACCGCCTCAGCCTCCTTGGGAGCTAGGATGACAGGCATGCACCACCACACCTGGCTAAATTTTTAAAAAAATTTTATGGAGATGGGGTCTCGCTATGTTATCTATGCTGGTCCCAAATTCTTGTGCTCAGCTTCCCGAAGTGTTGGGATTAAAGGCGTGAGCCACTGCACCCAGCCAGACACTTACTGTTATACTTCAATTCTTCCAGCCCAAGCAGGGGATTGAGGCAGATGCAAGCAGGAGGGTACTGGTGGCACAGGTTTTGAGTCCTGCTCCCCCAGGTGAAATGCTTCTCAGGTGCCTTAGAGCCTCAGGACAGGGGAAAACCAGAAAGGGAATCAAGGTTCCAGATTCCATTGTCTCTGACTATCTTAAACAAAGACCCAAATAAACTCCTATAAAGTTGTTACAAT